CCCTATGTGATATGTTCTCTCTTATTTTTTATTTTTTGAATTGGAGTCTCACTCTGTCGCCCAGACTGGAGTGCAGTGGCCGCTCCCGGCCACCGCAGCCTTGCCTGCTGGGCTCCAGTGATCCTTCCGCCTCAGCCTTCCAAGTAGCCGGAATTACAGGCATGCGCTACCACGCCCGGCTGATTTTTTTATTTTATTGTGGAGATGAGGTCTCGCTGCCCAGGCGGGTCTCGAACCCGCGGGCTCAGGCAATCCACTCACCTCAGCCTCCCAAAGGTGCGGGATTACAGGTTGAGCCACCGAGCCCGGCAATATGTTCTCTCTTAACTTCAAAACACTTATGTCCCCTGAAAGTGAGATGTGTGGGAAGAAACGCCAAACTACCGTTATAAGATCCCCAAAGGAGGAAGCTGATTCCACTTAAGGATTCATAGCACTGAATAGGAATCCAGTATTGAGTTAGTTCTAACTGTCTATACACTGCAGAGAGAACTGGAAGCCCCCCAGGGATGAGACCCATGGGAAGGAATTCACACATATTAACCACCATGTCTAGCTATAAATCCACATCAAGCAGCCAGATATATTAAGAGATTAAATAGAGGAAACTAAAAGAAGCACAAGAAAGCCAAAGCAAACCTCTTGTTTTGCAAATAAACAAGGCCTTAGAAGCTGGTGATAATGAAGAAATATGCCAACAAAGACAATGAGTGAAGATGCCAATGATCTAACATTCTTTTATTAAAAGAGGTACTCTCACTTTAGCTGCACACCTTTTTTTTTAAGGAATCTCATCTATTTCTGCAGCTTAAACCACAGGTACCCAAGAAGGGTAGGGGGTCCTGCCCCCAAGGGCACCTTAGAAATCTTTGGAGGAGCTTTTTGTTGTCACAGAGACTGGGGGCACTCTTGGCCTTTATTGGGCAGAACTCAGAGATGCCATGTCCTGCAGAGCCTGGGACAATCCCTAAGAACTAACTCTCCCAGGTCAGAGGAAAACAACCTGTTTGTTAATATCTGTTCCTCGAAGCCAACACTGTTTTACATATAAACACAAAGTGACTTTTGCTCTAGTTTTAACGTACAATGAATTGCCTGGAAACGCAAGTACTGTGAAAACGAAGAGAAAACATTACTTTTCTTCACTCTTGGAGAAAATTACACAGCATTTGAATTGTCAACACGCACTTGTGTCTGTCTGCATTTTGGGCTGTGACATTGATAGTCCTTTATCTAGTGTTACAAGCTTTTGACTTTACATGTTCTAGTTTATCTGGATGAACATTTACATATGAAGTCCATATTTTATTATAAATTAGTTTCACTTATTTTTCCTTTATAGTTGGGGGCTAGGTTGCTTTTTGAAATCAACAGCCTGCCTACTTATTAGTAGGTTTTGCTCTACTTTTTTCCTCCAGTTTTTTCAATCAAAATTTTCAAAATAGTCACAAAGTTAAAAAAAAATTGTATAGGGAACACCCTTGTACAGTGTTTACATGTTTATTCTACCTTTTAATTTCCAATCAGGATTTTTGTTATATAAGTGGGGCATTAGGTCCCATTAGGAGGGAGTTGGCTGAAACCAATAGCACTGATACATGTGAGAGCAAACCTAGAACGGAACTCATACGCTATGAACTAACCCTCAGTTTTTGCATCTCTCCTAATTTTTGTAGAAAGCCTAGAACCCTTTAAACAATTTTTTTTTAGTAGGAGTCTCACTCTTGTTCAGGCTAGAGTGCGGTGGCATGCTCACGACCACTACAGCCTCGACCTGCTGGGCTCAGATGATCCTTCTGCCTCAGCCTTCCAAGTAGCTGGAACCACAGGCACGGGCTGCCACGCCCAGCTAATTTCTGTATTTACTGTAGAGACGAGGTCTCGCCATGTTGCCCAGTCTGGTCTTGAACGAGTGGGTTCAGGCAGTCCTCTCACCCTTGCCTCCCATAGTGCTGGGATTACAGGCGTGAGCCATGGCACCTGGCTGGAACACTTTTCAGTGTTTCAGTATTCTCCTTTCTGGTTTTGTGTTTTTTTTCTCCATTTGGCTCTACTGAAATCTTGATGGGATTCTGTGCGAACAGACTGTTGATTTACAATTCAGACTCTTTCATAACGTGGCCCCGCCTGCGGCCTGTCTTCACCCCTTCACCACATTGGGCCAAACGAGGCTCCTGAGAACTCTGGATCACATCTGGGCTCACTATTCTTCCCTGGGCCTGGAGAGCCCTGCCTCTCTGCGAGTTGAAAGTATCATCATTCCTCAGAGCCTGATTTGGTTATCTCCACCTCTGTAAGACCTGCTGCCACCGCCTAAATGGCAGGGATGCCTCCTCTCTGTGCTCCTTGTACTCTGTTCATAGCTCATGTAGCATGCGTCCCAGGCTGACTGGAAGCTATTTCTCACCCTCTTTTGTGCCATGTGCGTGCGTGTGTGCCTGCTTCCTGGACTGGACTGGAAGGTCCTTGAGGGAAATGTCAATCACCTCTGCATTCTCCATGTTTAGTGCCATCCCTTGTATGCTGTAGGGCTCGGTAAATGCTTCTTGAATTTGACCAATGATTTAAAATATAGGAGAAAGTAATAGAGCAGGTACCATAGTGGCTGATTCATGTGTTTTCAAAAGTCCAGGCTTGTTTAAACCCGTAACAGGCTCTATCCATCAAAAAAATGTTCTATTCACAAGTTCTGACATAGAGAAATGTGGAAGCTATCACAGAGAATTGATCAGTTTATAAAATATTTGTGGCCCTGTTGGTCTATAAGAACAAATCACAATTGATACTATTATTAGAAAGAACCAAAGGATTATAAAACAGAAATATAGGTTTGGGATTAAAATATTTTAAAAGAATATTTCTGACACATGAACATCTCAAGAAAGATACCTCTTTTCTTATTCATTATTGGAGGTCCCTTTGCATATCTTAAAATTGTGGCACGCACCATAGGTATTCAATTTCTGGACTGACTGATGTGTGTGGGGGAGTCACATTTTATAAGTTTATATTGAGTAGTGCGAAGAAAAAATGATTTTACCCTGTTCTGAGTCTTGCAGTAAAAGCCTCTAATAGATCAGATAAATTATACTTGTGCACTGACCAGAACCATTTGCAAAGCTACGACTACACCAAGTGCAGCTGGGCCCATACAGGGATGCAGAGCCTGTCCCCAGGGCAGACACCATTCCTAACAGTCAGTCCTTGTCATCATCAAATAATGTCTAACCTGACCGGACTCTAATGTTAGCATCTATTGGGTATACAAAAGGACTTGTGAAGTGTATTTTGGTACCAACAAGAGGAGTACTTTCACTCAAACGAAAGCATCTTTAGTTTGACTCCTCAATCAGCAGAAGATGGGTCAATCAATGAGATGTTGTCTGTGGACCAATAAACTCTCAGAAGAGACATTATTTTCCTTTTTTTTTTTTGAGTTGGAGTCTCACTCTGTCACCCAGACTGAAGTGCAGTGGCCGCTCCCGGCCACCGCAGCCTCTACCTGCTGGGCTCCAGCGATCCTTCCGCCTCAGCCTTCCAAGTAGCTGGAACTACAGGCGCACGCTATGATGCCCAGCCAATTTTTTAATTTATTGTAGAGATGAGGTCTCGCCAAGTTGCCTGGGCGGGTCTCAAACCCGCAGGCTCAGGCAATCCACTCACCTCAGCCTCCCCAGGCGCGGGATTACAGGCTGAGCCACCGAGCCCGGCTGAGACATTATTTTCAAGAGGCTTTTTTCATTATGAAGTTTCATCTCCTCCATCTGCAGATTTAACAGAATACAAACAGTGATGCTTCTTCCTCGCTGTGAAACATGAACGAGAATACAATATTCATGCTGGCCAAAAGGAAATTAGATCTGGAGTGACACTTTGGTTTGCAGATGTACATTGAAGCATTGTAACACAGCTTAATATCGTAAATTGTTTGTAAGTTAAATTTTTGTAAAAAAAAGAATCAAAACAAAACAGTCTCCTTTCCAAAGAAGACTTGGATGTTTTATCTGTAACAACCATGGTCAGAAAACATTTACTATAATAGGAAAATTTGCTTATGCTAATTTTCTGGATTAAATGGGAAATCAGAAGAACTGAGAAAAGTATGTACATAGATCCCACCTGCTGTTGATGAGATTATTAGGTCATTAAAATTTCCCTCTTCTTTAAAGGTTCAAATTTCAGACCTTGTAACATTCTAGATCATTTGAGCATTTTGCTCACCATTAAAGAAAACTGCTTAGAAAGAAATAGCTCCTTCAAGTCTTTCTGCCAAGACCTTATATAATTCCAAGAACCTGTTCTCTTCAATGCTATGGTATTGTGCTTTTTCTTCTCTCACTTTTTTTTTTTTTTTAGAGTCGGAGTCTCACTGTCACCCAGGCTGGAGTGCCAGTGACACGCTCAAGGCCACCTCAGCCTTGACCTGTTGGGCTCAGGCAATCCTTCTGCCTCAGTCTTCCAAGCAGCTGGAACTACTGGCGTGTGCCACCACACCCAGCTAATTTTTTTTTTTAATTTATTGTAGAGACGAAGTCTCACCAAGTTGCTCAGGCTGGTCTCGAACCCCTGGACTCAGGCAATTCTCTTGCCTTGGGCTTCCAAAGTACTGGGGCTACAGGCTTGAGCCACCACACCTGGCCTTTTCCTCACTTCTAAAACCAAGTTTTATATTGATTTCGAGTGCCATATCTTTAATTTCTAGAAGTATTTTGTTCCAAAATGTTCCTTAAGTACATGAATTCAATAAAAGTGGATATTTGTTGTTATTTTTGATATTTTACCACTGGTGTATGATTTTTTTTCCTTTTGCAAGTATGACGGACAAAGCGTGGTCCTTCCTCAGAGAGAAAATGCTACGTGACACTCGATTAGTAGCACTGCGACTGCTATAAAGAACAGTTACCATTTGGATGTATGTGAGAAATGCTGCCTCTCCTTGAATTAGAAAAGGCCCCCAGGCTTGCCTGGTTCAAGTCTCTAAATGCATGAAATATACTTACATTCTGGAAATCATTAACTTCAATTGCTTCTTCAGCTCCACTTCCCATCTTAAAGGTCTCCAAGTTGTTCCCAGCATCTATTTCCATTGACCCATCTTGTAATTTCCCATTGATACTCATGGTGTAATGGACATTGTAAATCTGAAAGTGAGCACAAGAGTTAGTGATGCTTTCTTTTCCGAGTAATTCAGGGCTTATCTTTAGACCTGCAGTGTATTAGGTAGCGAATATATTTTTCAGAGATACATGGGATAATCCCTAATAGTAGTACATTTATATACGAGGACTTTGTTCACACACTAATCACTTAATACAATGATTTCTTTAAAAATACCTTAAGAGTAAACCCTTTGATAGTCTTTGATACTTATTCAAATAGCTCAGTGATTTGCAATCCTGGCTGCACACTGGAAGCATCTGGTAGACTCTCCAAGTACCATGCCTGGGTTTCATCCTGAACCTATCAAATCAGAAACTGTGGGGATAGTGCTTGGTCTTTCTGTTTCCAAAGCTCAATTCTATTATGCATCTGGATTGAGAACCATTGATGGATAAATGGAAACTGAGGAGACAGAATGTTGTTGGGCTCCCAGCAGAACAAATCTGCAGTGGTACCTCAAATTGACACGTGTATTTTATCCTTTGGTCAAGATTAGGCATGGAGCGTGGGATAGAATAAGGACTGTGACAGGACTAGGGTACACTTAATATGGAGCAGCATTTGCAGAGAGTAAGGTCAATGTGCACATCTGTTTCAGTTCAGAGTGGCAGTTACTCCCTTAATGACTCTGGGTCAAGCATAAGGTGTTGCAGGGCATTTTGTTATGAGATGCGTGAGGTGTTTGTGAGAGGGAGTGGACCTGGCATTGCAAAAGGCAGGTGTCCACAGCACTTATCCCTGGGTCTTGGGAGTTGCCACGAGTATAGAATGAAGATGTTAGACCTCATAGGTAGCTTTCTTCTGTGTCCTTAGAGCTCTGGGCTTTCACAGTCATGGCCCAAAGGTGAGGTGCATCTATGAGGTCCTCTTCTCCCCTGTTCTCACAGCCTAACAGAGTGGCTCTGCTTTTTTTCTTTCATGTGTCGCATTTCTGAGTAACGTTTTGTTAGAAGGAAAAATTCCAACACTTAAAATTTTTTTGTTGAAGTTTGCCACTAATTAGCTCATCCAAAGGACTCTCTTAGTTAGATGTCTGATTACTGCACTAGTTTAAAAATAATTCACACGCCGCTGCTGCTCAGCATGTGGTAGAACTTTCTGCGTGTGGTGGGGCCAGGAAGTGGATTTCTTTCTTTCTTTGCTGGACTTAAAGGCATATCTATGTGTATTTATCTTATATAGGCCATCATATATATATCTCGTATCTAATATATAAATTATAGATGTGTAACACACATTTAATACATACACACACATATATAAATTTTTTTTTGAGTTGGAGTCTCACTCTGTCACCCAGGCTGGAGTGCAGTGGCACGCTCAAGGCCACCGCAGCCTCGACCTGCTGGGCTCAGGCGATCTTTCCCCTCAACCTTTCAAGTAGCTGGAACTACAGGCGTGTGCCACCACACCCAGCTATTTTTTTTTTAATTTACTGTAGAGGTGCGGTCTCACCAAGTTGCCCAGGCTGGTCTCGAACCCGTGGGCTTAGGCAATCCTCTCACCTCAGCCTCCCAAAGTGCTGGGGTTATAGGCGTGAGCCACTGCGCCGGGCACATATATACATTTTTAAAGAGGAAGGAACGAGAACTGATGAAAGACAGTTGCTACTTAATGTTTGGTCAGTCAGTCAGAACAGCAAATAGCTCACATTTAACACAAGTCTGATTTCTCTCTCTCGTTAGGAAGAGTGACTGCTACATGGACACACACTGGAAAAAGTATCTGCTGTTACTGGATCATCACGTATAGAAAACTCATTATTATAAGACCCACAGAGCACTATTTTACCAGCAGAGATAGAGAAATGGCTTTGCTCTCCAACACGCTTATAGGCAACAGCATTCATTTCGCAGGACAGAAGATACCAATGGCCCATTTCAGCTCAGCCACCTATCATGGCTTCTCCTTCCCTCCCTCCCTTCTTCTGAGGAACTTAGGTGCTTGCAGTTTACTGTCTTCCAAGCTTGCCTGATCGTAAGAACAACTCCCTGGGCTTCTGATGTAGCAGAGCTGGAGCAGAGCCCACCAATCTGTTTCTCTCTGCCCCTCAGGTGGTCCTTGTGATCAGCCAGGCTTGGAAGCCTGTTTTCTTCGGTTCAGTCAGTTCTTTCTGCAGGTGAGGTTGATAAAGCAGCTCTGGTCTGTCTGGATGCTCTCTGAGCAGCCCCTGTTCACATGGGTCAATGATGCCAGTCAAAAGGAGCCTGGCAGGCAACACCAGGGCGAGTTCCTGCTGGCATGATCGCCCTCCACTCATGTGACAAGAGGAGTTTTAAGAAAAAAAATTGAGCGGGGCTCGATGGCTCAGCCTGTAATCCCGCGCCTTTGGGAGGCTGAGGTGAGTGGATTGCCTGAGCCTGCGGGTTCGAGACCCGCCTGGGCAGCAAGACCTCATCTCTACAGTAAATAAGAAAATTAGCAGGGCGTGGTAGCACGTGCCTGTAATTCCGGCTACTTGGAAGGCTGAGGCGGAAGGATCGCCGGAGCCCAGCGGGTGGAGGCTGCGGTGGCCGGGAGCAGCCACTGCACTCCAGTCTGGGCGACAGAGTGAGACTCCAACTCAAAACAAAAAGAAAAAAGAAAAAAAATTGTCGTAAGCTTTTACTAGTAAAGCAACGCAGCAGTAAAGAACCACTTCAGGCTGGACGCCATGGCATATGCCTGTGAGCCCAGGAGTTTGAGATCAGCCTAGGCAACATAGCAAGACTTCGTCCTCGTCTCTACAAAAAATAAAAAAAATTAGCTGGGCATGGTGGTGCATGCCCGTAGTCCCAGTACTCAGTAGGCGGAAGTGGAAGGACCGCCTGAGCCCAAAAGATCCAAGCTGTGGTGAGACATGATCATGCCACTGCCTTCCAGCCTGGGTGACAGAGACCCCAACTCAAAAACCAAATACAACAAAACCCAAAACACATAAAAACAAAATTCTTGGCAGTTCTTAATGAGATGGGACTGTAACACTAGAAGAGTGGCCAGTAGTCCTAATTTCACGTTCCTCTACCACCACCTGTCGCCAAAGTCCCCCCAACAAAAGCTCCATAACTAAGTATTGCCGTGGCTAGCGCAGCTTCAGACCGTCTTTTATATGCAACACACCGTCTGCAGGGGACAGCATGAGAAACTTGTGGCCTCCCGAGACCACGCGGGAAAGAAATGGGGGCAGGAGGCAGTCCACAGTTTCCAAAGTCTTGGGCGCTGAGCTGGGGAGGAGGCTGGGTTGCTGGGGTGGCAATTATATTATCTGCTCTAAGTCTGTGGAGCTGTGGGCACCCAAGGCTATTCTACCCAAGTACAATGAAGTTTATTCTTTGCCAAAATTCTTCTCACTATGGTGCCTTTTACAGCCAAGGATATCTGCTAATGAGTTTTTAATAAGGCCTAGGTTCTATAAGATTAATTACATCATATTCGGGAAAATGTTTAGAAAAATTAGTCTGAGAAGAAAAGCCCCAAGCAATGATCTCCTTCCCACTTCCCACAAGGTGGAGTTGTCAGTTATCTCACATTGGTGGAAATTTCCCATATTTCAATGCCTTGTTCCATCTACAACACTGCAGATTAAGAATGGCCTCAATATTTGAGTCCAGGCAGCTATCCTCTGATTACTAGTGCTCTGGTGCTTCATAGTCCACCAACTAAATTTGAGTAAACCTTTCTCCTGTGGGGATTTACCCATATGAAAGGGACAGGAGGTGAATTACAGCTGGTTCTCCTCTGTAACCCAACAGAGAGGAGTCCGGGCACAGATCATCTCCAAAGAATGGATAATCTGTTTGGTTTGATAAGTGTTTCTATTTGACAGAGACTTACTTTTTTTGATTACATTTTGTGTGGGCTATTTAGATTTGTATTGGAGAAAGCAGACCTGTGCATGTGCCATGCAGAGATGGTGCCAAATTTATTTAGCATCCTGTGATTTGCTTTTCATATTTAAGTAACATGGATCAGCACCAAACATTTCAGAGGGGGCTGGGAAGCTGTCATGATTTTCTTCATTGTCCAGCTTATATAGGTTAGAGCAATAATATATAATAAATGTGAGTCACTATTCCTCTGAATTATTTTTTGTTTTGTTTTGTTTTGTTTTTTGACTTGGAGTCTCACTCCGTCTCCCAGGCTGGAGTGCAGTGGCACGCTCATGTTCACCCTAGCATCAACCTGCTGGGCTCTGGTGATCCTTCCGCCTCAGTCTTCCAAGTAGCTGGAACTACAGGCACAGGCTACCACGCCCGGATAATTTTTAATTAATTGTAGAGATGAAGTCTTGCCAAGTTGCCCGGGTTGGTCTCGAACCCACAGGCTCAGGCAATCCACTCACCTCGGTCTCCCAAAGTGCTGGGATAACAGGCTGAGCCACCAAGCCCAGCCTCTAAATTCTTAGAAGTGAATGCTGCTCTCTTGAATCAGTGAACCAACCATTATGTCGTAAGGTAAAAGATAAGAAAGAAAGGAGCCTCACTTATGAGTGTTTAATCCCTCTTTTTAGAAGGTTGTCAGTTAGCTATGTTTGCCTTGAATAATTAAATACCAAATGGCATTCATTTAAATATCTATCATGACCAGAATCTTGACCAAAAAAAAGAGAAGGAAAAGCAATTTTTATCCCCAAATGACCTATACTACTGAGGTTTTGCTACCTAAAAGATAGCATTTACATTCTAAAACCATAAAATTTCCCAAAGGCATGACAATCTAAACTCTGCTATTAATGGAGATGTAGATATTGAAATCATTCTCATGTTCAGATTTTCTGCTTTCAAATATGAGCATCTGGCCCAGCTTCTATATTTAAAATACAAATACATTAAGGCACTTTTCAAATACACACAAAATACAGTGCAATTCTGATCCTACAAATCGATGCTTGTAAATTTGATATAGTCTCTAAAACAGACTCAGTGCTAAATGGCATGCTTATCTACATTAGGCATTTGAGTTAAAAATACAAATTATGCAGTGACTTGCAGAAGATGTGATGTGTAAAATGGTTGAATTGCTTTCAGCACCATTTTCTGTAAGTACTGGAATTGGTTCATGCTTTGAATTTCATGGTGGGAGAAAGGAGGGAGAAAACAGCCGTCACAGATCCTCTGAGGATAGTGATTATGAAAGAGCGCTTTGTGTGTGCCCTGGAGATGGAATTCTTTTCCATTAGTCGAAATAAGCTTATACCAGACCTGGCAATGGTCATCGAGATAAAATGCCCCCTTTTACATAGGTGAACGCATTCAGAGTATTTAGAGAGCACACTGGAACTCTGCCCAGTCAAGTTAGAAGCAGTTTTCATACTTGAGAGCCCATGGAGCCTTAAAATAAATAGTTGCACACAAAGAAAGTGGGACAGCAGTTAGTGAGAGACATTGGCTATTAAAACACATGGGACGACTAGGCCAGAATTAATTGTCAAAGAGATTTGCCACTTTCAAGGAAGTTCGTCTTTTTTTTTTCTTCCTTTTCCCCCCAGAGAGAGAAAGGAGTGTTCAGGGCTAGGTCACCTAAAAACCCTTCTGAAAGGTGAAAATTCACCCCCCAATCACGGGTCTGAAGATTCTTCCTTTGTCCTAGATCTTAAACACACAGCTTTTCTCAGCTGGGAGAGGCCTTCGAGATCACTCAGCTCCATTTTCCCTCTAACGATGAGTAAAACGGAGGCCAGAGAGGCGACGTGCCCCGTCGCCGGTGACACAACGGCTTGGTGGAAGCGCCCGGCCAAGGCGATCGAGGCTCTCCCGAGCCGCCCGCGGCACCCCCCGCACCCCCCGGGTTTCAGGGCTGCCCCCCGAGCCCCGAATCGCTCTTCCACAGGGCTGTCTACGAGCAGAAAGCAGCGTAGCCGAGTGGGATGGACGAAGAGGGAGGGTGCCCCCGGGCACCTGCAGGGACGATTCAGCAGGGCCGGCGGGGCGGGACAGCAGCCGCGAGCCTCCCCTCGCCGGCCTGCGCTCTGGCGCCACCTAGGGGGCACCGCGGG